GTGCCTTCGGCACGGAATATGAACCCGTGTGTAACTGGGTTATTTACCACATACCCATACAATAACTATAATTTACGGATGCCCCAAGTCATATGAAATCATCGTGGTTTTCTGGTTTTGATTGTAGGTCAGCCATGTGAACACACGATTTTAAACTATAATTTTGGCTGATAGTTATATAAAAAAGTTACTAAAATCGAAGCTTGTTGGTGGTCCAAAGCTAATCCATCCGAATTTAATTTTCGTTTTAAAACATTGGTTTTTTATCCTTGCATGTGATGAATAATAATCACTGGACGGTTTTATCTCCGTCCATATAATCATGTGTGATCCGAATCAACCTTTTTTCTACTGTGAACATGCCCGACAGGTAAGCGTTTTATTATCCGTCATTATCAACAAATGATCCTGAAAAATGAGAACTAAAGGTAAGTATAGAGGTCTGATCCGATGAATATATAATTGGTTCACTGAATTGAATATTCGAATACGTATAAAAATTTTTCTCCAAATAATTAATTGAATATTCAATGAATATTTACTATCTAATCGACCAATTAAATGCAAGTTTGGTGACATATGTCATGCTCAATCTTATATACTGATTGGTTAGCAATGCTAATAATAATGAACCCAAAGTAGATGAGCAAGATAAATCATTATTACCTAGAAGTTTTCTCTATCAATTTATTTATTTTAATGTAGTTTTTAAGTATAAAACTCATTTGTTAGTTAAACTCAACTTTATAATTAAAATTTGCTGTTGAATATTCGGATATTAAAAAGATTGAACGAATGAATATTCGAATACTTATTTTTCGACCGGATCAGACTTCTAGGTAAGTATATGGTACGTGTTTCCTACTCTAATCGTTCAAGATTTACTGATTATTGTATGTAAAAGCTTGAAGTAGACATTTGAAGGCAATATTAAAAAAGTCTATGCTTCCTGATAAAATAAAAAAATATTTATGGCTCAATATGAACGATCCACACCTAGCGTATGGAGAATGTGGGAGAGATGGATTCATATCTCTATATGATGGTTAAGACATCTCTACGGAATGATTGGGAAAAGCGGAAGAGATAATATCAGTCCATAGTCTATACTTTGCACAACCGTCAAATATCAAACCCCACTTAAAACGCAATTGTTTTTTAGATTTTTTGCTTGACTATTATAATACATTATAATATGTATATTACCAGTTACCAGTTACAGTTACAGTTACAGAAAATTTGAAAAATTATAATCTGAAGTTTGAATAATACATAAATACATACATACATATATATATTAATATAAATTGTATGACATAAAGGTAGGTAAACAAATAAAAATTGCTATATCCCATTATTATTTTCTCTTTCCTTGATTCTTCGTTTTTGAAAACATTTTTTCAGGACGTTTGAATCTTTGGTAGTACCAAAAATAAGAAACACCACAATTCCTATTAAACTACCTGCCCCATCGTTTCCAGATATTTTAGTTTCTGTTGGAGAGTTTGAAAACAAAATAATCAATGTGTCAATCGAAACAATCAAACTTATAACTAGGAATCCAATTGAAAAACAAGCCATGCGAATTGCAGCTGTACGAGTTATTTTATATTTTATTTTCGGTCCTATTCCTTGAGTAAGACGTTGGTTTTGATTTTGTGTTGGATTATTAAAATTTGTGATTTTTATATTTATAGGTATCGATGAATTATATTTGAGTTGACTATTATTTTCGATTTGATTTTCTTGTTGCAACATCGGAAGTGTCGAAAAGGTTCGCAGAGTACGTTCCGAATGATTAAATACTACCCAAGCGACTCGACCTGATCATTAATAAATTTTTTGGATGGGTTAAGAGTAATATTCATAATTATGCGGGTTGGTACATACGTTTCCCTGAAACTTAATATATTTCCCAATACGTATAAAATGTTAAAAAAAAGTTTCTGCTAATACTATATTATATAACATATATATATATATACAGTATTTACTAGTTTTGCGATTACAAATTTTTGGGGAGAAACGTTATGTCAGGAAATGTAATTTGTTATACATACCGCTCCAATATACTCCAGGTATAGAGATCAATAAGTTTGAACCTGCATATCCAACCAATCTTACCCAGGGAGGAGTTATAACATCACTATCATGTTGTAGACAATAAATTAAGCGGTTAATATTATATTGATATATGGGTATATGAATATTGAGGAGTGCACACTAAATGAATAAAAAACTTACCAGCTTAAATCACGCACATGAATCGAATCAAATCCGTAAGAAAGCGAAACAAGGATTGATGTCATTAGAATAGGATAGACAATAATTGAAGAATAGATCCATTTGATAGAGGTTTCTCTCTTTAAAACTACTAATTGATACGATTGCAAGGCGAAACAAACTGCAGAAATACTTGCTGTATACGTCGTAAATTGAAGCTATTTAAAAATAAATGAAATTATTTAACAAGTCAAAAGTTTTGTTTTGTTTTGTTTTTTTTTTGTTTGCATACCATCAACCCTTGAAATATGCAAAATTCTCTTGGTGCTTTATTCAAATCATCATTCCAAATAATGCTAAGTAATACATCAAAGCTCATCAGTGCAATAGATACAGAAAATATTTTCAAAATCATATGATTACATGCTATTGACATATATATAGCACATAGTAGTGAAATGGTCCATAGAGTGTCTACGAAAACACTAAGGGATTTATTATTATTAAATTCTGAGTCTGACATTGCTTCTTAAATGAAGTTTGCTATCATGAAAGCCTCTTATACGTGAAAAAAGGATGATACATATGGGAGTGATTCGGTAGAAATTTTTATGTAAATTTTTTTAAAACTTTAAACAACCAAAATTTAATAAAAATTTTGTTAAATTAATTTAAAAACTTTTAAAATTTATTTAAAAAAAATTTTATGATTAAATTTTTGCTAAATTATGTTTGTTTAAAAATTAAAAAATTTTCAATAAAAAAGATATGGTGCGTTTCTATTGACTCACCCCTATATATAAAAATTTTTTCTTTAATGAGTAGATGTAAGTAGTTTGATTTTAAGTTGGGATTTGCGCATTTACAATTTTTTTGATAGACGTAGGATTTATTATTTGTCAAGGTACTGTAGAGGTACAAGTAAATTAATCTTCCTACTCTGAACAATGAAATAATAAGCCGATGTTCTTAAACCGGCGTTCTCAGTCATTCATACATGTTATTCATCAAAGATCCCAATAAAAATCTGACGATAATTACATTAGGACTTGGTCATCAATGATGATTTTTTAGTGATAGAAATTACTGCCTGAATATAATAATTTAACTGGATAACCCAGATAATTTAATAATATATACATGAGTAGAGATTTCCTCAATATCGACAAAACCATACTTATTTTAATTGTTTCGCTGTTGACTTATGCTTTAAATGATATAAAATGAAAGGGGCGCGTTAAAAAAAAAAAAAAAATCAAATTAAGTACATATCTACCGATTCACGATGATTCACGTTTGTGAGTACGTCACACTAGTAATATGCATCATATTTCATAATTCTGACCCGCATTAGCAGCAAGCTATCATAATGTGGGCTAGAATTCCATGCGCATGAAATTTGAAAAAAATGCTAATTTGCATATCATAAAGGCACTAAAAAAAGCTCTTCGGAAATAAGATCCCGAAATTGCATTTATTTTAAAAATTTAAAATTATGGAAAGCACATCATTAAAATGGATACAGACAATCACTTCGCGAACATCTTATTTATAGGAATTAATTGTCTTAAAATTAAACTTGTCTATGAATTAATTGTCTATAAAAAAAGATGTCCGTGAAGTGATTGTCTTGATTGTCTGTAAAGTGATACGTATCCCATTAAAAATATTATCTATGAAGACGTCAATCATGAACCTTAACACTATGTGTACATATGAATTTCAAATATATGATGTAGGTGGAACGGTATTTTAGTTAAAATTAAGATTAGGGTGTAGGTTTACATATCGGTATATCCTAAAATGCTAGTTTAAATCCCAAATCCACATAAATTCTATTTCCACTTATAACACTGTCTATAAATTCAATCAATCATAAAAAGTTTAGATTGTTATGAAAGAGAGAGCGACTCATATGAATGCGAATTTAGTTCGATAAATCGAACCTATTAGCATTTGCTATGGTCAACTCTTTTTTATTATTCAGAGCATAGCGGAGATATAATGGGAGAATAATAGATCAGGTATTTATTATTGCATGGGTCTTATGTGACAACCCATGCTTTTTTCATTTGTTACGTCAGTCACGTGCAATAAGTACTATTTATTGTATAGGTATATGAATAATTTAGTTAACATACGAGTTCATATTTAAATCCAGTGCCTTCGGCACGGAATATGAACCCGTGTGTAACTAGGTTATTCATACATACCTATCAATATCTATAAATTATGCCCGCATTTTATTCTTTCGACTGGATTACCAATTTGCAGATCCGAGCTAATGTTATTTTAAATTCCATAGTGAGCAGTTGAAAAGTTGCAAAAAAAAATCATTACTTTATAAAAAAAAATTCCTTGACTGTGGTTTTTTATGTTGTTATCTAACAAATAAATTAAACTTTTAAATAATAATAATAATAATAATAATAATAATAATAATAATAATAATAATGATAATAATAATAATGATAATAATAATAGCGATTGCTAAAGATTAATTGCAGTATCAAAACTTGTTACTGAATATTGTTTTAAAATTGTGTAATCGAAGTAGCATCACGCGACATCATGTGAATACGCGTATATAAAATTTTATATCGATTGCAGTTTACGGTATTTACGTACGTTTGAGTGCTGCAAAATTAAAACCTGTAACTTAACTTAGAATCGAAAAATGACGCAAATCATTAAAATGAAATCCATATCAGATATCGTATCGCATAAAAGCGCCTCTAGCAAATAATCGTTAGCTGTTAATCAACATGTAAAAATTTAAAGTATTGTCATGATTCTAGTTTCAATGTCGCTAGGAAATTAATAATTAGAATCATATATCGGTTTAATTGATCTAAAAATAGAATTGTTAATGGATTGGATTCTAATCCAGGGACACGGAAATTATGTGATTTAGTGTGATTAAACTAAATCGCATAATTTTACATCATTTATATATTATATCAATGCTGCATTCATTATCAGCTTGATTCAGCCTAGCCTGTATAACTATTATAAACCGATTAATAGTATGTTAAATGCGAGTAAAGTGTTTTTAGTAGTATGTAGAAAATGACATTAAACCCCAAATAAATACATTTGTCTTTAAGAAAAAGAAATTTATTATTTTTTTTGTATGGAACCAAAAAGAATTACATTGAGCATTAAAACGCTTGAATTTAAAGATGAGCTTATATGTCAATAATTGAGTTTTATTTTATTTAAAGCATTTTTTAATTAACGATGAATAAATCAGTTTTTGTTTAATCATAAACGGAACAGCTGAATGTAATATTTAAAAAATTGAAGCTTTTTAGTTGGGCACAGTATATAAAAAATTGCAAATTTCTTTTTATGAGATAAAAATTTTTTAAATCGCATTTAATCATCAGTAAATTGAATACTTTATATAATACCATTTACAATATTGAGTTTTAATATAACACATAACTCTAATTATAATAACCTTCGTATAAACCGATTGCTAGTTATATTAATGACTTTTTTTTAAGTTTCAAATCCCATACACTTAATATGAAAAGCGTCGACCTAACCAGAGTTATATTATTCCCAGTTTGGTCTCTATTTAATAAACTGAGTTTGATCTTCTAATTAATATGGTTATGCTTCCTTTATAAAATGTATCGTTATATTCAACCTTAGTTAGAAAGATCTGTAACGCTAACTAATTGAAAAACCTCAAAATCTGAAATTGTAAATGAACCAGAAATTCCCAACTTAGAGTAAGTTTTTGCTTTAAATTTCCAAATATTACTGTTGTTTGGAACATGTAAATCGGGTCCATCCCCAAAACTTGGTCCATGAATATTGTCACAACCAACTGCACAATCACTATGATTTTGATGAATGCGTGATAATGTAGCACCTTTGTGGTTTTCTTTATCCAATACAAACAAGAAGCTATCGGTTGTTTTTTTCCATATATTATCTCCTTCCCAATCAATTGGATTGTAACCTCCAACAAGCTGAGTTGAATTATGAATTCTCCCAACAACAATTGTTGCCCCTTTGTTATCGCATTTTCGATGAAATGCTTGAGATGAAAGTCCATCTAAACTACTTCGAAAAAGAAGATTAAAATTATATTGAAATCCCTTTGAATTATCTATGGCTCTTCTATCTATCCATTTCGTAAATAATAGTGAAATCTCTTTATCAATCAAAACCGAATCGATTTTAAAGTTACCCCATCTGACCAGAAATGTATTGCATGATGGTATAGCTCCTGCCTCCAAATAACAACGTATGATATCCCCAAATAAAGTTTCTGGAATGAGGCTCTTAAAAGGCCATACTTCTCTCATGAATTCCTCCCGATCTATCTGATGAAATCTAACGAGTTTAATTAATTCTTGTAATATCTTTCCTAACGCGTTAATGTCTACATTCTTAGCGTCTTCATCCATCATGCTACCTTCAAGCATCGTTCGTTGTGCGTTTCCCCATCTAACTAGTTGTTTCCAAATATCACTTTCCTTCAATGTGAGGTTATCACATCTAAGAATCAATTTTAATACATCTTCTTCTAATTTAAGGAATTCGTCTGATTCAAATACTATATTAGGATTTTCACAAATGGTATCCAAATAAGCTTCTCTAAGTTCGTCAAATTTTTCATTATAATCAATAAAATGAAGCATCCTAATAAATTCTTGTTGTAAGAATTTAGTACAATTTTTAATTAAAAATTCTTGAGTATAGTCAATAAGTCTTTGAATTAAAAGTTCATCCGAAGCGACTAGGAGTTCTAAGATTATTTCATTTTCTTGACTTTCTAAATCCACTATTCCACAATACAGAAATCTATTTAATATATAAATAATAGTTTATCATTAGAATCCTGAATAAAAAATTATATAATATTTTAATTATTCATTACTTACTTAAGAATAATTTTAAATGTAAATGCGCTTATATTTGGCTTTTTTAGGACCAAAAGTCCATTATTTGACCTTTCAGCCCATTTAGCTGATAATGCACTACGAAAATATGATGATCTAGTGCGAAGAATCAACGAATGTGCGTGGATTTCTTCCATATTTGGTTCTTCTCCGGCCATGATAATTGTGTCATGACCGTCTCTACTTTCGTAGAGTTTACGAAAATCCTCTATCACTTCTTTAGAGAAAGTTTTGACCATATCGTCTAAATTTTGTATAGCGATATTTAAACAGATTAATAAAATTATTTTCTAAACTTATACGGTTAAAAATAACAGAAATTGATTTTTTTTTTATTACTATATTCCTGTCAAAGTCTATTACCTGGTAAACAAATTCTTCAAAACTAAGGTTAAAACTGTAAAGATTAACGTGTTATACATGGACGTGCAAATGTTGCAGGACCCGAACCAAAAATTCGCGGCAGATCCATGATTTTTGATTGGCTATATTACAGTCAGGGAATATTGGGAAACATGGTAAGGTTTACTTTTTTGATGTAACTCTGTTAGGTGGTTTTTTTATAAATCCTAAAGTGAAAAAATTGCCATGATTTTGGTTTTTTTTTTTAAAGTTCAATTGAGCAAAATCCGAATTTATTAACACTTTCCCTATATCTTTCAATAAATCCTTTCGAGTGCATATCGATATACGAAATAAAAAAGTAAACTAAAATATTTAATTACAAAATGCATGCAGGTTAGAGGCTGGACTTGAGTCAATTCGTAGCTTAAAAACATAGTCTTAACTCGAATTAACTCGAGTCAAGACTATGTTTTTTAAGCCACGAGTTGACTCGAGTCCAGTCTCTAATACAGGTTTGCTTTACGTTAATAAATAATGAAATAGTGATCAACATATATCTTAAAATATTAGAGGTTTCAGAATTAAAGTCGAATTTAATTTAGTAAAAACAATGAAGTATTAATTCTGAAATCCGTTAACTCCGAAATCCCATTATAACCAGAAAAGATTTTATTAAAGCAGCTTGTAAATTTGATATCGATCTTTTTTTTTTTCGAAAGGCTTCGCATTAATTACCAAGCAGATTTATTTATTTATAATAATCAATTTAAATAACTACAATCTTTAACACATCTCCCTCATTTAGATATTAATTAAGTATTAAATAACAAAAATTTACAGAAAGTTTAAAATTATAAACATGTTACATAGATATTTACAGTTATGAGGAGAGGTTTCGTGAGTGAGTTTTCCGGACAGGGTTTATATTCGATTTCGACTAATTATTATTGAAAAAACATTTGACATTCACAGTCTTTCTGTCTTTCTTTCGACTTATATTCTTTTAATTGTCGTGGAATGCTTTGTACAACATTGATACAACATTGACTTCCGTGAATTGTTATTAATGAAATGGATTTTTGTTATTCATTTCTTGGCGAGTTGGTGGTTCAAAAACACGAATCAAAGAAGGTTGGTGAGAAGTATTTTTATTTGATGCTGTTATCGAAAGAGGAGACACTAAATGAGTTTTTAGAGTGATGGAACGTGTATCCATAGGTGATGATGGCGGAGTTTTTGGTAGGATAAAATCTATAATGAGATACATATTTTCATATAAATTTTACAGTATATTAATTTTATTATACTACTAAAATATTTTATATATTCATACCTGATTGGTTTACACGTTCAATATTATTCAGCCTTTCAACAACTTCTTCAATATTTGGTCTTTTGCTAGGATTCCCATCCCAACATTTTTTATATAGTATAACATACTTTAAAGGACTACTTTCGATTGGAGTCTCTCTTAAACCTTGTATTATTTTTAATCCTATACTTATATCTGAACTTTGATTCTCGAAAGGTGCTCGACCGCTTGATATTTCCCAGAAGAGGACACCGAGAGAATATATATCGAATTCTTTACCACGTTTAGGACAAACATTATTTAAGTATCCAGGATCAATATATGGTATTAAACCATATCCTGAATTTGAATTTGTTATTGATACTTCGTTAAGTGATTTAGAAATGCCTAAATCTGTGATCATCATTTTCCCACCGTGTACTAGTATGTTCTTTGAATGCTATATAAAGTATTAAAAAATTACGTTAGTGTTAATTTTTAGTAAATCTTAATTATAAATGGGTGAAAATAATTATTTACCAGATCTCTATGCACAATGTCTTCGCTGTGTATGCACTTGAGTCCACCAGCAATTTCTTTTGCCATTCTTACTTTATCACTCCAAGTCAGCGTCGGAAAATTTTCTTTTAAAAAGTCATGTAAATTTCCACCATCTGCATATTGCATTACTACAAGGTATCGATCTTGATCTATTGTAACATATATCTTATTAATATTAAAATTAAATTAAGTTAAATTATTTATGTGAAAATGAAAACGTACCAAAACTAACTCCAAGAAATCTGATAATATTTTCATGATAATTTACTATCATTAATGACTTCACCTATAAGATCAGAAAGTCAATTATTATAATATTTCCAATAATCTTTTTTTTTTTGTCAATTGACTAACCTCCTTAATAAAAGCTTTATAAGGATCTCTATTACTATCAATATATTTCAATGCGACAGTAATTCCAGGTTGTGGCCAAAAGGCTTTAAAAATTTCTCCAAATCCGCCCCTACCAATCGATGTAATATCTTTCAATGAAGAGTATTCTATGAATTTAATTCCAACGTCTTTAATTGCCGTTCGTATTTGTGTGGCTCTTTCACTTTGTGACATTTTTTTTTTTTTTGGAGATAAGGAAAAAGTGATTTATTGATATGGATGAGTAACGATAAATTGAGTAATAACGATAATTGATAAGTCTAATTGAGTAATAACGATAAAAGTAAATATAAACCACCAATTTTCTGCTTTGACAGCTTTATTTATAAGTTATTCTCTGCTGATTTCCTCTGTGATTCCGAGTTCATTGATGTTCAGTACAACCAATTTTCAAAAAAAGAATACGGAATACATGTCCGAATGTGTTTTGTTATGTGGTATGCTGCGCAAATGCTATGTGTGGCAAAAGCTTTTATATAAAATAACAATAACTCATTCGTTCTGACGCAATCAATTTTCTTCCTAATTAGGAAAATTTCTACTTTTTGTGTTAATAATCAAAAATAACATGATAGAAATATTTAAAAACCATAATAACGTGTAACATCACGATTTCAATGTTAAAACTAATTTAGAAATGCTCAGAGAAATATATAAATATTAACACTTGATCCGATTTGTCTTGTTAAGCTAATCGAATCCGATAGTTCTGAGTCTTTCAGTTAAAAATAGGAATGCATGAAATCACATTTAAATATCATTTCTAGTTTATTTGTATGTATTTCTAAGCGATAGATCAGACAGATCATCTAAACAATAGGCCTGCGAGTCTTTAAGCTGGACGATCCTTTACCTTATTTAATTATTCGGGATATCCGTTTTTCTATCGCTATTTATTTATCTAGATACAACACATGCCTATATCCCAAAATGAATTGATACAGTTGATTGGTATTACTTAACGTTAACGATCAGACACCTGCTCGAATTTTGAGACGTTATTGCTTTTACTATAAGATGTCAATTAGCTTGTCATAAATTTTCAAATTAATAAATAAACTTAAATTGCACTTCTTACATGTTTATCCGATATATTTTTAATATAAAATCGAATAAACCTCATCAAGGGCCCTGTAATATTCATAGATAGGTAAGTTTACTATTAAAAAAAAAAGATAATAGCTCCATAGTGAACCTTGGAATTTTTCACACCAGTTAAGATTGACCTGCTTCAGAATTGACGGTAGTTGATCTGACTAAGATTTAGTCTGAGAAATAATTGTTTGTAAAGCCGGGTTAGTCCGAATATCCGGATATAACAACGTAACTTTTATTATTTTATTAAATATGCATACATAGCTTTATTACATAACTATATATGGAAAATTGTAATTTTTTTTTTTTTTTTTTTTTAAGTGAGGTCTTTTCCTCAGTTCCTTTATTATTCATTATGCAGATATTACATAGT